GAGGCACAATCCAGGGGCCTGGGGAAGCAAGCGGGGATGAGGCATGTGGGCCATGCAGGGGAGGTAGCCCTTGCGGGGGCCATTTGGCCCCTGTTGGGGGTGCTGTGGTCCCTGTGAGGGGCAGCAAAACATATAAGTATTTAAGAGGCACAATCCAGGGGCCTGGGGAAGCAAGCGGGGATGAGGCATGTGGGCCATGCAGGGGAGGTAGCCCTTGCGGGGGCCATTTGGCCCCTGTTGGGGGTGCTGTGGTCCCTGTGAGGGGCAGCAAAACATATAAGTATTTAAAATTAACTTTATTATGATGATAGAGACACTGGTAGGCTTGCAAATTGCTTTAGCACTGTAGATATATCAATAAAACATTGCCCAACTGATTTCTGTCTCTGTCTCTGTCTCTCACTCTCTCTCTCTCTCTCTCTCTCTACATATAGTGGTCTTTTGTTTTAATTGTGGAGGAACATGGATTTCAGGGTATTTTACACAGTGACTTCAGGATTTTTTTATCAGGCATTTTCCATTTTCAAATAGGAAACACCACAATTCCTGCTAGGGAGGCCGGTGGCAGGACCCTGCCTGCACAGAGCTGGCACCTTGGACCCAGCTTCAGGTGGTTGAACTCCTGGCCAACTGGGGCCAGGAGGACATGCTTTGACAGTTCAAAGCAGGCCATGCACCACACTGGGAACATCTTCCGGGGGATAGCTGCCCAGATGGCTGGGCAGGAGACACACATGGCAGTAGTGCCGCACAAAGGCCACTTTGCAGCCCCAGTCCACTGACAGCTGACCCAGAGGGGCAGATGCCTCTACTGGCTGTGAAGTCCCCATCTGAGTCTGGCAGGTGCACAGCAGGTCACAGCCAGGCAGCAGCCCCCACTGCCAGATTACTGCAGTGGGTAGAGAGTGCAGGGAACAATTAGGGCTGCTTCAGCAGCTCAGCTGGCACAAGGGGTAGTGTCCCCAGTACCAATTGGCTGGGCTCCAGAAGCTCCTGAGAGCGAGTAGCCCTGAGCTACTTGACAGGGCAGCTTTTTGTACTGATGGGGCCAGGACAGGACAGCTTTTTATACTACTGAGGACAGACAGGTGCTGGCCTTAGGTTTTAGCTCCCCCTGGCTGCAGATCCAGGAGGTTATTTTGCCCCAAGTGGCACAATTTGTCCCACACCAAAGTGCATGTCCAGGCACATGCACCGAGGCAAAAAGCCCCGGCTCAAATTTGCACCGCTTCTATTTGAGCTTCTGTAAGCGCATGTGCTTGCATGTGTGGATGAGCCCAATTGGTTCAATGCACCCCTTGGAAAATGTCAGCTTTTAGTTTTCACTTGATTTTTTTGACTACAGAAAAATACTAGAGCAATTCTTTTGTTGCAAAGAACTCAGAAAGCCTATAGCAAGTCTGAATGTTTTTGACACTATGGACTCCTCTTTGAAATCTCAAGGTTTACCTTGAGAATCATGTTTGCTACAGCACCCTGGTTGAGAATCAGTGTCCTAGGCATTCAAGTAAAAAAAAATAGATTCTGGAACCTCACCTCTTAAAACAAACCTATTTAAAAGCTTTTTTTAAAATTATTATTCAGGAAAAATTTTGGACCCGTTTGAAGAGGTAGAAAAGTTTCTCATATTCAAAGTGATTACAGAGCAGAGAAGCCAGGAGTATCTGGTAGTAGGTACCACTTGCTACTAAACTGCATGAACATGTGGCTTTGATGATGGTGAATTTTTCTGTATTTATCCTGGAGTGGGGATGGAGGAGAGAGATTATTTAAACAAGGAATATACTAAGGTTAAAGAATTAGCTCAGTAAATCTCTATTCTATGCACTCAGAACTGTGTTACAACGCTCCTGATTCTTCCCATGACCCTGGTCTCCCCTTTCCCTTCTTTTTACAGAAGGCAGGACAGGCTGGGTGTGTGTACATGAGATGCTGAGTATTATTAGGCTACTGTGCAGTAGCATCGCTTAAAAGGCATGTGCCAGTGCAACTGCACCATAATTCTGGTTACTGCACATTTATTTAGTACTTGATTATACAAGTACTAAATAAAGGCGCAGTAAGCACTGTGCAGTAGCATCCTGCTGGCACCTTAGGGTTCCTATACATCTGCATTTTAATGAGAGTGGCTCTCAGGAACTGCTCTAATTAAAATGCCCACAGAGTCTTGTGTATTCAGCATCCTGTGTTTCAAAATGGCAGCAGGGGTGCTTTAACTAAAGCTCTTTCAATGAGCTTTAAAGAGCCCCTGCTGCCATTGTGAAATGCAGGATGCTGAATATATAAGATGCTGCAGTTTGCTGGAGTGTTCTGATTCGTTATTTATTCGTTAATTATTGAATAACTAATTTTTTATTAGTTAATTATTGATTAATCGAGTCTGCTGTGATGCGTTCTAATCAGAACGCACTGGAGCACATGTAAAAGTACCCTTAGGGTGTGTCTACACATCGTCCTACAGTGACATTGTTACTGCGCCATGCTTTAGTACTTCCAAAAGGAAGTACTAAAGCACAGCTAAGTAATTGCCTGTACTGTACCATGTGCATGGCGCATGCTTAGTTTTAGCCACTATTTCACCGTAGCGGTACGTTGAAACTAGGGAGCGCGCTGCTACAGCAAAGTAGCTGCCAGTGACATGTAGATGTGCATGGTCGTTACGGCAATGTAACGTATCACTACAGTGATGTAGCGCAACATGTAGATGCGTCCTTAGAGACTGACTAATTCAGAAGGGTATAAAGTTTCTACATGACAGCCTACTTTGTCCAATGCCTGACTTCTGACTAACATGGTTAACTACCTCTCCTCTTTTCACAGAGAAAAGCTGAGAGGCAGAAGCTAGCCTCTGAATTTTAATAATATTGTCAGTTTCTGGAGGAACAAAAGTGACACCTACTGGTCCAACTGGGATAGCTGGAAAAGGAGATTGCAAAGAAAAAGAATGAAAACGTTACCAAACTAGCTAAGATTTCCTCTCTCAATACACTGCTCAGTGAGGTGGCAGAGAAGGTCCAGGAGCCGGCAAGCGAGTTCCTGCAAGCGAGTGAGTTGGGGAGTCCGACACAGGGAAGGGAGGCCTCGCAAGCCTTGGGTAGTGGAGTGCAGTAGTTGGATATCAGTGAGACTCAGGAGATACATAGCAGATATTTTAATTATTGATCTTTTAAGAAATACATATTTTAAATGTTAGATAACCCCATGAGCTCAGGCCCTTCATGAACTTGAAGACAGATAATGTGTATTTATTTCTACCTCGGGGAAGTGTCTTCATGTGGAACTCAGATTCTCTTTTTCCCCTCTAGGACGTCAGAGGCACCATGAGCAGGTATGCGATTCTTTCTGATTCCCCTCACAATTCTTCATTTTTGGAAGTGGTTGCAGAACCATAATGCCACCATGATTTTGGGGGCAGGTCATATTTTAAATACTTGTCTTTGTCAAGCTTAATTCTGAGATTTTCATCTTCTGTATGTATCCTGTGAGGCAGATTATTAACCTAATGCTTTTCAATGTGTAGTGCACCTAGTGAAACACTTCTAGGGGGCTCTGGCTGCTTCAGGACTCTCATGATAGGACTAGGCTGGTCATTGCTATGTCATTAGTTATAGCTCTGCCCAGTGTGAGAGACCCTTGTGGAATAAGGTAGGGTGGGGGCCGTGGGGTTCTCCAAGTGGATAGATGCCCACAACACTAAACCCATCAAAAATATGGGAGCAAGCTAAACATCAAAGCATGGTGCCTCAACTCTCTGTTGATCCTCACAGCTGGTGTCTCCAGGTCAGTGGTAGAATATTGATAACACACTCAGGAGGGAACGTTGCAGTACCATTACCTGTGCTATAGTGGTCTTGGTCTAAGATAAGAGAGACAAACTCCAGGCCTGCCTCCGCAGCTGCTGTAATCAGCAAGAAAAAAAGGATAAGGTATTACAGTTCATCATGTAACATGATATTGTCTCTCCCCAGACGTGATGATGAGAAGTTCCAGCAGCCAGTGGAGATGTCTCCTGATCTGGAAATGAGACCCAGAGATTTTTCCCATAAAAGCGTTGACTTAACAGAGTCTTTAAGGAAGTTCAGAGGTACCAAGAAGTGTTCTATGAAGGAAAATGGGAATGAATGAATCTTTGAGAATGTGGGAGCAGGTGGCTCTGGCTAATGGGTCAGTGATTTGATTATTAATGAAAAGTAGAAAAATCAACACAGTACATGTAGCAGAGGCCCAGGCATCAGGATGTCTTTTAAGTCCCAGCTAAAGAAAGTGGCTCCATAATTGCTGGCTCCCAAACTACAGAACTGTTTTTCATCCACCCTGGGGGTTTCGTATAAAAGGCTGAATTAGTATTAAATTCAGAGGAATGAGCGGGAACTCCTCTTCCTTCAAGGAGGTTAAATTCATCTCCAACCCTCCAGGAAGGGGTCCCTCCACCCCCATTTTTCCATCAACATTCTTCCTTCGCCTTATGCTATATTCCCCAATGGAGCTGCTCAAACTACAGAACATCCCCCTTGGTTCATGTTTGCTACTATCCTCCTCTCATTTCTGCAACTTCAGGTTTCTTTCTTCCTCTTTCTTCCTTGGAGAGAAGCAGGGTGATGCAGAGGCAGCTTCCGCAGCTACCGCAGCAGCAGCTCCCAGCAGCATTTCTGCTCAGGCTGGATCTCAACCTCTTCAGATTAAGACACCCCTTGGAAAATGTCAGCTCTTAGTTTTTGCTTATTTTTTGACTATGGAAAAATTATAAAGAACTCAGAAAGATCATAACAGGTCAGAATATTTGTGATATTATGGATTCCTACTCGAAATATCTGGGTTTATCTTATGAATCATGTGTAGATGTTTACACTCCTAACAGTGCTAATATTGTGTGACACCCAGCAGCACCCTTAAAAGACTCTCCCAGCTCCCAAGTGCTGCAGCAACCAGGGTGAGAATCATTCGTTTATACTCTTAAATTCAGACAAATTCTCTTTATCTGAGACAACTGATGTGTGTGGCTTTAGCTGTTCCGACAGAAGAAGGCTTTTGTCAGTTTACTGTAGTTGTCATTCAGGGAAGCAGTGTAGCTATGCCAACAGAAAAGCTGCTTCCATGGGAATGTGCTGTGTCAACACTACAGGGCTCTGCTGACCCACTTATAGCAGCAGCAGCTGAGTGTCCTAGAAAAACCCTTCATCTCAGGCACTCAGACCAGAAAGGCAACTTCACAGGACAGTGCCATGATGAGGCATCATGAGAGCTAATCCCTGTGGTCCTTCTCCCCTCTAGACAAGCTGCCATCCAACTTGGGGAAGGGAAGACAGGAACCTCAGGGATCATTCGCCAAGGGTAAGTGCTGGTAGCAATTGTCCTTAAATTCACAGGAAATGCTTATGACAGCAAGTCTGCAATCCCATAGCAACAGGAAACAGTCTCTTTGCCCTACTCATTTGTATAAGCATCCTTTTCAATATCAAATTCAGAGGTGTGAATGGAGAGACCTCTTCCTTTGCGGATGTCCCACCTTCCTCTACGCTTCTTTTCTACCCTCCTACCTTTCCATAGAGCTGCCACCTCCTGCATTTTCTCTAGGCCTGTACTATCTGCCCAATACCACGTCTTCCCTACTATGCAGTGGTCTTGAGTAGCTCTTCCCTAATGCTGCATCCTCATTTCTGTTCCTCAGTGCCCAGGCTGAGGAGCTACAGGGCTGTCTCTGCTCAGCCACAGGGGCCCAGACAGTCTAAGCCAGGACAGGGCTGCTAAGAGGGGTAAGGAGTGGCTCCAGCCTGCCCCAGGTCTGCGCTCTTCCCTAACACTGTGATTCTCTCTCCCCAGTGACAATGACTCTGGATCCAGACACAGCAAATCCCAATCTCATCCTGTCTGCAGATCGGAGAAGCATGAGATGGGGAGATGCACAGCAGGATCTACCTGACAATCCTGAGAGATTTGACACATGTCCCTGCCTTCTGGGATGTAAGGAAATCACCTCTGGGAGGCATTATTGGGAGGTAGAGGTGGAGGAGAAGGGAAACTGGGCTGTGGGGATTGCCACAGCATTTGTGAAGAGGAAGGACTGGATTCACCGTAACCCAGAAGGAGGGATCTGGGCTCTGGAAAAGTGGAGGAATCATCTGAAGGCTCTCACTATCCCTGAAACCCATTTGCCCCTATGCCAGTTCCCTCAAAGAATCCGGGTCTCCCTGGACCATCAAGGAGGACAGGTGTCCTTTTTTGATGCTAGTAATGATGCCCTGATCTTCACTTTTCCACAAACCTCATTCACCGGGCAAAGACTCCTCCCTTGGTTCTGGCTCTATGGCAGTAAATCTGAGCTTAGAATATGCCCCTAAAATATGGCATGGGGCGGGAATATTCCACCTGAAGTAATAAAACCTGCTGGCTTAATATATGTCTCTCAGCCTCCAGCTATTCATCTCCATGTTAGAGAAGTTTCCATGGTGTCAGACCCATAGAGAGTATGGTGTTGCCTGGATGGACAAGGCAATCCCGTGGGACATGTGTCACTTCATCTGTTTTCCTCTGCACTTCCTGGCTCCAGCACTTCCTGGCAGTGTAGTCTTCTCATGAGAAAGCACCAAATAGGTAGCCAAAATCCCTCTTGCTCAGAGCAGTCTGGACTGGAGGATCCTTGCAAAGTCCCTGTTGATGTCCTTTGGCTACTGGTAGGAAATGTGCAAGTTGGAGGCTGCTGGGCAGAAGAAACTTCTGCTTCTCCTTACCCTGCACCTCCAAGGGTGGAAGGAGAAGGGATGAAAAGCTTGATCTGCAAGAGCAGTAGGGGTACCCTGAGGGTATAAGCAAAACTCGTGAGGATGTGCGTTCAGTGATGGAAATGAAGATATAACAGGACTGTTGTAGGACTGGGTGGTACACAATTGCTATACTGAGGGCATGCCTACACATGCCAATTTAAGGTGCATTAGCCATGTTTAAAGGCACATTAAGGCACGCACCCACGCCCCTAATGTGCCTTCAAAATTGCAATTTTAAGCTATGTGTGCCTAAATTTGATACCTGCAAAAGCAGGTATCAAATTTAGGTGCAAACAGCTGAAGTGCCTTAACGCACATGTAGACACACTAAGGTGCATTAACACTGTGTATGTCAACTGACTTGGGACTAATTTTAGTCCTAAGTTGGTCCATACACAGTGTTAATGGGCCTTAGCATGTGCACATGTAGACGTGCACCTAAATAGTTTTAATATGCATTAGACAAACGCGCATTAAGTTTTGGTGCACATAAAAGCATGTGTAGACATGCCCTCAGGAACAAGCAGATATGGGGGTCATAGGACAAAGATGCAAAAATTAGATTTTGGTTTGGGTGAAAAGAAGGAATTAGAAAGCAGAATCTCTGTACTGGCAGAAAATATACAAAACCGTTGCATATGATCTTTGGGTCTCCCAGTCAGAGGTCTTGTAGCAGGGCCAAACTTACCTTTCTCCATTAAAATCTAACATGGGCAGGGGAAATTCAAAAATCAACAGAAAGATCAAAAGCATGAGTGGAAGGGACAGAAAAATAAAGGAGGCTGATCAATAAGTGTTATAAATAATGGTGAATAGTAATAGAGACAAGGAAAGAGAAGAAGTAAGGAGGAAAGTGTAAGAGGGAGGTATAGGGAGCTATAATGACACTAATTCATTATGTCCATATGTTTGTACATGGACATTGGTGCCATTTTTGTGGTTTTAAAATGTTTCATTTTTGTGCATTTTTTCTCATGTGCCGGTTATTAAAAGTCACTTTCAGCTTCTTGTCAAACCTGACTTTTTCTTTCTGTATAAATAAAGAACTAACACCTTTGTGCCCTCTTTCCTTTCCCAGCTGTACTTTTTGGGGAAAGTCATAGCATTTGCCTCCCCTCTTTATTGAACACATTGACATATCTTCCTGGATATGGACAGAGGTAACATTTATATAGCACTTTAAGTGTCTTAAAGGTACTATAACAAGTGAGTTGATAGATAATGAATAGCACTACAAATTGAGCCAAACAAATGCAACATAACCCTGGATGAAACGGGGATAATTCTGAAGTGCTTTACAGTGAAGTGCTTCTGGTTATGCTACAGGGGTTTAGGTTGTAGCCGTGTTGGTCTAAGGGTATAGGCAGACAAGTTTCCTTGGGTACATTTGATATCTTTTATTAGACCAACCCAAATGGTTGGAGAATAGTTATTAAAAAAATTTTAGGGTTCAAAAACCCTTTGTCAGGCTCAGGAAGCTGCAGCAGTTGGTGTGTGCTCTTCCTGGATGGGATGACAAGTCTGGTTATGCTAGTCTTCCTCTCAAGTGTCATAGGAAGTTAGTTAGCCCAACAGCATCCTGCAGAGTTTTGTTTTGCTGCCCCAGCAACGAGACACATTTGCGACAACTACCAACTCTATGAGAAAGCAGAAATCCTTGACCTCCTTGCCATCTGGGGTGAGGAGAGCACCAAGTGATCCTTAAGGAAGGACTATCAAGACGAGACCAGGAGCACAGCACAGATATCTTTGCCCAGATCACTGCTGCCATCTGCTCTGTTCTGTATGGGTTGAGCCCACTTTCTCATCCACTGCGGGCATGTCTACACATGCATTAATGTGCCATAGTTACTGTACATCGGGGTAGGCAAAATGCGGCTCATGGGCTGCATGTGGTCTTCTAGGCCATTCTATCTGACCTGTGGGGCCCCTAAAAAATTTAGAAAATTAATATTAATCTGCCCTGGGCTGCCTGTCATGCAGACCTCGATGGTTTGCCAAAACATAGTAAGCGGCCTTCCACCCAAAATAATTGCCCACCCCTGCTGTACATGAAGTTTTGTACCTGTAATAATAGGTATTAACTAAATGCACAGTAACTGGCACTACTGCACAGTAGCACCGGTGTATGCCTTTTAAGTGACATTAATGGGCAGTAGACTAATTCTACTGCACATTAGTGCAACACTATGGCTTTTGCCATGACACGCTAATGTGCAGTAGAATTAATCTACAGCGCATTTAGCATTTTGTGTAGACGCACCCTGTGGGAATGAGATTCAGCCTAATCCCTGACTACTTCCAGGTGAATCCTCCTTTGCTGGGTCTAGGTTCACTGCAGATTGTGGGCACAAGGAGGAGGTAGTTTGGGACTGGAACTGAAGCTGTGCCAAGAGCTACCACTGGGTTCCTGCTGTAGGAGAGCAAAGCAGCTGGTAATTCACTTTGCTGGGAGTTCTGCCACAGGGAACATTATGAAAAGCCTTTGGAACCAATCAGTTATCTCAGCTCTGTGGAAGTTTTTAAAAGTAGTCTATTTAGAGACCACAGGCCATTTTCTTCTGAGCTTGTAACACTGGGTGGAAGGAGAGGTTGGACATGAACTTGTGTTCTTGGGGCAGAAAGACCATTCCTCAGGGGAAAAATCAGGTGAAGGAAGCAGGGTAGGACCCAGTATAGTGGGGCAGTACAGGACCCAGCTCAGCATGGGATCCACCATGGTGGCAAAGAGTGATGCAGGACCTGGTTCAGGGCAGCAGAGGACCTGGGGTATCCCTGGGTACACCTCTGCAAGCAGGGGAACTCAGGTTTCTCCCGTGTGCAGAGGTGGGCCCTGAGTACTATTCCTCAGGATCTGGCCTATGCTGCTTGTGGGAATGGCAGGGACCTGACCTTCCAGGACAGGGGGTGACATCCATTTCCAAAGAAGAAAATCAGCTGTGGGACACATCCTGGCACAGCTGATCTGCTTCATTTGCTGATGTCTGTTTATACCCTTTTGGGAATATCTGCAGGATGCAGGCTTAAGGTTTTCCCTGGAAAAAAACAGGTGAACAATTTCTCCAATATGTTGCCACATAGCTGTATTCTTGCCTGTAACTGCCGGTACCCGTAAGGTTAGCAGCCTCCACTAGAGGCTCTAGCAGCTGTGACTTGAAGCTGGGATTCTGCTGGGTCAGCTGACAACACAGTCATTTCCAGGAATAGAAACACAAACACCCGCCTGCTGCTTTCCACCAAGCTATTTCTGCGCCCAGGAAAGTGAAACTAAGCCTCTCCCCCTTTCCCTTCAGAGCTATGGCTGCATTGAATCCTGTACAACACCTCCAGGATGAACTGACCTGCTCCATCTGCTGTGAAATCTTCCAGCGCCCAGTGATTCTAGACTGCGGGCACAGCTTCTGCAGAGCCTGCATCACCCAGTGCAGGGACGAGGCCGATGCACATGTCTCCTGCCCTCAGTGCAGAAGCCCTTCTTCGCAGAACAATTTCAGGCCCAACTGGCAGCTGGCGAATGTTGTAGAAAAAGCCAAGCAGCTGAATGAGCAGGTAGCCAAAGGAGCAGAAGGGGGGCAGGTATGTGAGGAGCATGGGGAGGCTTTGAAGCTGTTCTGTGAAGCAGACCAAAAGTTGCTGTGCATGATATGCAGAGAGTCTCAGACTCACCAAGCGCATGCTGTGGCTCCTATCCAGGAGGCTGCGGAGCAGTACAAGGTAAGGGTCACTTACCTGGGTCAAACTGCTGAGTGTCTGGTTTGAATTTCCCAACGAAGCTACATCTTTTTCTCTACCCTTGGGCTGTTACTATAATTGTATCCCTTGACTCAAAAGGATTAGACTGCACACACAAACACAGCCACAGAAAATATAATCTAATACGGTGGGAGAGATGCATTTTTTTGTAAGATCACGTCCCTAAGGCCCCTGACAGCCATTCATTTTAAAGCTCGATGGGATTCCATGGTCCATGATCCCAATAATTGCACCTCCTGTCATGCCGCATGTGCATGGCAGGATGCATGATGTGGGGAGTGGAGAACAATGTGGATTTCTCCCTTTACCCCAGGAAACTTGGGTTTTTCATTTTAACAGAGAAACCTGCGAATTTTGCACTTTTGCAAAGAGCTCCCTGCGGGTTGGCAAAATTCCCCCCTCCGGCAGCACTGGAGGGGGAGGGGGGCAAGAAACTGTGGGTGGGGAGCAAGGGGCACCAGCAGGCATTGGGGGCTGTGGGGGGGAGGGGAGAGTGAGGGGCACCAGCAGGACTGGGGGGCTGTGGCTTGGGAGTGAGGGGCCTGGACCCGAGTTCTGTGAGCACGGGGGGGGGCGCTCTGATTTTCCATGATAATAAAGCCAAAATTGAATACAAAAATTGATAGGTATTTAGAATTTATTTTATTTTAGTGATTGAGGCACAAGTAGGCTTCAAAATTGCTTTAAAATTGTAACTATATCAAGAAAACATTGTGTTCAGCTGATACCTACACATATACATATAGTGGCCTTTCATTTATTCAAAGAATTTGCAATTTTTTTTATCAGGGAAAACCAGGATCCCTGCTTATCACACCTTGAATTGAATAGGCAGCTGGGTTATTATTTAAGGCACGAATGACTTGTTAATCATGTCTTAAATGTAACGTGTGTCAGGGGCCTCAGTTTCCAATCATTTCTATTAAAAACCTGTGTTTTGAAATGCACACACATTATGCATGCATATGCAGTACACGTATACACATATTATACCAGTGGTTCTCAACCTTCTTAAGATTCGGGGCACCTCTCATTAGATTTGAGGTCCCCCTCAGAAAATGCCAGCTCTTATTTTTCAGTCATTCTGTGACTACAGAAAATACTGCTGCAAAGAGCTTAGAATGACCACAATAGGTCAAGAATGTTTTTGACACTATGGATTCCTATTCGAAATCTCTGGGTTTATGTCAATCATGTTTTCAGCCCTAACAGTGCTAATATTGCAGCATCCTTGAAGAGATCTCAGGGCGCTCTGGTTGAAAATCATTGTATTACACATTAGCACGGATCCTGGTTTTCTCTGTTTAAAAATTGCAAATTCTCTGATAAAAAAACCCATATCCATGATTAAAATGAAACACCAAGTCATATATGTATGTATCAATTGAACACAATGTTTTATTGATATACTTACAATTTTAAAGCAATTTGGAAGCCTACCAGTGCCTCAATCACTATAATAAAATTAATTCTAAACAACCGTAAATTTTGGAGTTTGATTTGGGGTTTTTTATCATGGAAAATCAGAGCTCCCCCTGCCCCCTTCGCTCACCAGGATGCAGGTCCAGGCCCCTCATCCCCCACCCACAGCCCCCTGACCCTGCTGGTGCCCCTCACTGCCCCCTGCCCCCCAGCCCTGCTGGAGGGGGCCCCCAGCTGCCAGGGCTGAGGAGTCCCCTGTCCCCTGCAGCAGCACCCGAGCCCTGGCTGCCACTCATGGGAGGCGGCAGCTGCTGCAGCCAGAGCAGGGAGCAGAGCATGGAGCCCAGCTCCCCACCCCTGCAGGCAGCATGGCCAAAGTAGAGTCTGTCGGGGGTGCAGGGGCAGGCTGCCCACTGCAGGCTTGGGCTCCCCACCCTGCTGCCCCCCCTCTGGAGCCTCAATGACCCACCAGGCAGGCCCCTTCTTGGCAGGGTAGAGTGGGGCCAGGCAGGGAAGCTCCCTGCCATTAGGAGCTCTGCGCTGTCCTGATGTGGCACCCTTGCCCTCCTGGCAGCAGCAAGGGGCATAACTCCTTGCCACCACCGCTGCCAGGCAAGCAGGGGACGCCTCGCCATGGTGGCACAGGGATCACAGTGGCAAGGAGCTTCTCCACCTGGCCCCACTCTGCCCTGTGCACCAAGTCCCACCCACTGGGCTGCGGAGACCCTGTAGGGAGGGCAGCGGGGTGGGAAGCCTGAGCCTGCAGTGGGCAGCCCACCTCTGCTCCACCCCATGCACAGAACTGGGGGGCATGTGCCCCAGCCCCCGGGAGTGCATGCAGCAGCAGGAAACCAGCCCCATTTCCCCCACCCACCGGGTGAGCCATCCATGGCTCCATCCGGCTCCCTACTGGGGCCCTGGGGCCTAAACCCCACACACTGCCTGGCAACAGCCCCAGACCCAGCCCAACTCACTCCTTCTCTCCCTCCCTCTGGGGGCCTCAGTCCTTCCCACCACCAAATTTACCAGTGGGAGCTGCTCTCCAGGCTGCTTGACCGCACCCCTTGCCTGACTGCCCTCCTCCCACTCCCCCCAGCCCTTTGCAGGCAGGAACGCTGCCAGTGTGCAGAGACCTCTTTGCAAAAGTGGAAAATCCACATGTTTCTCCATTAAAATGAGAAATCCATGTTTTTCTCAGTTAAAAGGGAAACACATTTTTTCCTGTTTTTCCATGGGAAATGGAAAACCTGGATCCCTGCACATTACTCATTGGCCTGGTAGTAACCTCATTTTTATAGCCATCTTCTAAAGCAAGTAAAACCTGGGGAATGAGGCTGAAGCTCCATTTCCCAATTTGCTAGCAATTCTACAGCCATTTTTGTCATCCTAGATCATTATTCAAAGTTCATTCAAAATATTCATTATTTTTATAGTTCAACACAGCAAATACCATTCAATGTTCATACCAGTGTATATTAGAAATGCTTTATAAAATAATTATTCAAACATGGGTCTGGGCTTGGCATTTCCCAATGAAACAGAAGAATGGGAAGTGCAACAGGAAACTAGCCTGGCTACACAGTGATCTTTTCAAGGAGCTGAAATTCAAAAAGGAATCCTATACAAAGTTGAAATTTGGTTATAGTACTATCACAACCCAGTGATTTTGGTGCCTCGGCACGATGGATTTTCCCTGCCACATGAGAGCCTCTTGCACAGCAAAGGGTTTTTGTTGCAACAGAAAAACCTCGGTGCAAGAGAGTTCCTGCCATTTGAATGCAAATTTGTGTCCCGCTATTGGCCAGTTCTAAATTATTCCTACGTGGCGGCTAGTAATTGGCTTGCTAGCTGTTTAAAATTGTGCGACTTCCGCCCAAGTCGGAGAACTTTGAGCACGCTGCAGAGTGCCTCTAAAGAGATCTGACTTGCGGCTGAGCTGATCGATAGACTGATCACCTATCGATTCTTCTCCCCGTCACCGAGCACAATCCTCGACGTACCCTTTCCCCGCTGGCTTAATTTGTGGACGGATTAGCTGGCCTGAGCCTCGCCAGCTGGAACAACTCACATAGTTGTTCAGACGACCGGACCGTCTGCGTCGCTGCTACAAGCGGCGTAAGAAAAGTTTTTGCAACCATTAAGCTTTGTCTGCCTCTCCATTCACCAGCCCGCCCAGCGAATGAGTAATTTCGAAAATCACCTCGAGTCGGCTCCGGCCGTCCGAGACATGGCGACGAGGATGGGATTTAAGGGCACGGTGATGGAGATGAACCTAATTGGGTGCTGCCCCTGG